CTAACATCCCTGTGATTCATCTGTGTCTTCAACTTCCAACTGTGTCCCCTTGTTACTGTGTCCAATCTCTGGAACATCCTGTCTTTGTCCACCTTGTCAATTCCTCTCAGTATTTTGTATGTCGTTATCATGTCCCCCCTCTCTCTCCTGTCCTCCAGTGGCGTCAGGTTGATTTCCCTTGACTTCTCCTCGTAAGACATGCCTCTTAGCTCTGGGACTAGTCTTGTTGCAAACCTTTGCACTTTCTTTAGTTTCTTTACGTGCTTGGCTAGGTGTGGGTTCCAAACTGGTGCCGCATACTCCAATATGGGCCTAACGTACACAGTGTACAGGGTCCTGAACGATTCCTTATTAAGATGTCGGAATGCTGTTTTGAGGTTTGCTAGGCGCCCATATGCTGCAGCAGTTATTTGGTTGATGTGCGCTTCAGGAGATGTGCCTGGTGTTATACTCACCCCAAGATCTTTTTCCTTGAGTGAGGTTTGTAGTCTCTGGCCCCCTAGACTGTACTCCATCTGCGGTCTTCTTTGCCCTTCCCCAATCTTCATGACTTTGCACTTGGTGGGGTTGAACTCCAGGAGCCAATTGCTGGACCAGGTCTGCAGCCTGTCCAGATCCCTTTGTAGTTCTGCCTGGTCTTTGTTCGAATGAATTCTTCTCATCAACTTCACGTCATCTGCAAACAGGGACACCTCGGAGTCTATTCCTTCTGTCATGTAGTTCACAAATACCAGAAACAGCACTGGTCCTAGGACTGACCCCTGTGGGACCCCGCTGGTCACAGGTGCCCACTCTGACACCTCGCCACGTACCATGACTCGCTGCTATCTTCCTGACAAGTATTCCCTGATCCATTGTAGTGCCTTCCCTGTTATCCCTGCTTGGTCCTCCAGTTTTTGCACTAATCTCTTGTGTGGAACTGTGTCAAACGCCTTCTTGCAGTCCAAGAAAATGCAATCCACCCACCCCTCTCTCTCTTGTCTTACTGCTGTCACCATGTCATAGAACTCCAGTAGGTTTGTGACACAGGATTTCCCGTCCCTGAAACCATGTTGGCTGCTGTTGCTGAGATCATTCCTTTCTAGGTGTTCCACCACTCTTCTGATAATCTTCTCCATGACTTTGCATACTATACATGTCAGTGACACTGTTTTGTAGTTTAGTGCTTCATGTCTGTCTCCTTTTTTAAAGATTGGGACTACATTTGCTGTCTTCCATGCCTCAGGCAATCTCCCTGTTTCGATTAATGTATTGAATATTGTTGTTAGGGGTACACATTGCGCCTCTGCTCCCTCTCTCAGGACCCATGGAGAGATGTTATGTTGCCCCATTGCTTTTGAGGTATCTAGCTCACTCAGAAGCCTCTTCACTTCTTGGTTGTGTGTACTGTGTCCAGCACTTGGTGGTGTGTGTGTGTGTGTGTGAGAGAGTGAGTGAGGAATTCGCAAGAGCAGGCGAAATATACATAAACACTGATCTCTGGCTGAAGGAGACACGAACCTTGGAACAAGGTACGCAGTGCTATAGTGCCTAGCATAATGCTAGACGTTGATCCAAGGCAGCCAGCTTTCAGGGAGAAGGCTTACATCTTTTCATCTCATCCCCTGCATGTATCAGCCTTACTCGAGATTTTAACAATGCAAGGAATTCGCAAGAGCAGGTGAAATATACACAAACACTGATCTCTGGCCGAAGGAGACTCGAACCTGCGAACCTTGGAACAAGGTTCGCAGTGCTATACTTTTCTCACCACACTGGACAATACCTTGGCACCTAGCACAATGCTAGACGTTGTTCCAATGATGCCAGCTTTCAGGGAGAAGGCTTACAGCTTTTCATCTCATCCCATCTTTGAGCAACTTGCATACCCTGTTTGTTGGTATGTAATCTGGTGATGAAAAATTAGCTCTGTGTTTCTTTGTTTACTTTTGCTCAGCTATAGACAAGAAATGGACTCAAGAGATGCTAGGTCTGTGTACACATGTCTAGGTACCCAGTTAAGTGCAGGGATAAGCATTTTATGTATAGGGAATATAGAGTGTAACTGTGTATTGAACCATGTTTCAGGGAATTTCAAAGAGTGCATCAGTTCTAGAAATATGACCATTGCCTGTATGTACGTATGTGTACACATGTTAGAACAGTAAGAAAGTGAAGCAACTGGATTTGTTCATTTACATTTTTGTATATCATTGTTTTATAAACAATATACAGTGGACCCCCGGTTCCCGATGCTATCGGTATCCGATAAATCCGGTAGCCGATGCATTTGATTGAAAAAAATTTGCCCTTTCCCAAACAAACCCCGGGTAGGGCGATCGTTTCGACGAGAGTGTCCATTTCACAAGCCAGCCAGTGTGTGCGCTTAAGGATACATTCGGTACATTCTATATTATCCATATTATCATGTTTTGGTGCTTTTTCAGCAAAATATTCCCCGGGGCCCCCAAGAAAGGTTCTAGTGCCAAACCCATCGAGCCAAGGGTGCTAATGATATTAAAATTTAAAGGGAATGTGTGCAAATGGTTAAAGTGAAAAACCCTTTTTTGATAAAACACCCTGACACGGCTACTGCAAGCGTGTGTCACTTGTAAAATGACACTGTTTGAACCCCTTTGGGAACGTCATAAAGGAACAGGGGTACGGGCCCTATGGACAGTTATGTTGTGCGACAAAAACCAGGACTCTCAATGGTCCTAGGGGCTTTTAAAAAAGAAGGGAAAGTCCCCCCGGGAAAAAAGGGCTTCTCCCTCAAGTACTAATGGAGGGGGATTTCCCTTCTAAATGCTAACACCACCACCCCTTTCCCCTCCTCCCACCCCATCAATATCACCAATCTTCATTAAAGGTAAGTGTCATTTATTTTTTTTGTTACTTTTTTTATTGTTTTGTTTTTTATTGAATTACAAATCTATTGCATTAAACTTAATATTTAAAGTGGTAAAAGTTTTTTTTTTTTCTCTTTTGGGTGTCTTGATGGATTAATTTTTGTTTTCCTTTATTTCTTATGGGGAAAAAATTGATTCGTTTTCCCATTTTTGGTTTCGATGACTCTCGGAACGGATAATATCGTGAACCGGGGGGTCCACTGTACTGTTGCAGTGTGAATTTTGGGTTTTGTATAAAAGAGGTAACCAAAAGGCATTGAGTATGACATGAGTGTCAAAAGCCATAAAAGTTACTTGAAATTTAACAAAAAAAAAAATCGAAATGAAAAGAAAAAAGGGGGAAAAATGTAATACGAAGCATACAGTAATCCCCGATTTGCAGTCACGGGGCATGACCTTAAACTTCACACCATCACATTTTGGGAAAGTGTGTGGGATTTTTTTTTTGAAAAAAAAAAAATGTCTCTTTTTAATTTTTGGGGGTCACTGCGTAAAAAGATTAACAGTTCCCCATTTTAAAGGACTTTTTCAAAACTGCCAAGACCCAGCAGATTTTCTTTGTCAAGACTGGACACACTGATTTTCCCGCTTTTCTTGCGAAAGCCCCAAACCTTTGATGCAACCTACCATCCACCCATCTATCTATAAAACCCAAAAGTGTGTGTGGACTTTCCCATATGTGTACTTTAGTGTTTTTTTTAATGTCCCGTGGGAAGTGGGCAGTCCAACAGGGTTACATTAAGTAAGGTTGGTTCTCCTTGTTAGTAGTTGTTTCACTTTTCTGTTGTTTCTGAATTTTTTTCCAACCTTGTTCATACTCTGTTTTCCTACATGGTCCCCCAAAATTTTCACTTTGTCCCCTCAAGGGGTCTCGATGTTGGTGAAGGTTATCAATTAAAGGAGTTGAAGCTGTTTCTCCCCTTGGATTGAACCTGATTATCCCCTTCCTTATAATGTTGATTTTTTTGGTTGACTCTTTTCCTATTAAAAAAAAGATTAACAATTTCCCCATGCCCTAAAAATAGCGTACTTATTTTTTTTATACAAAACAAAAACAAAATTTAAACCCCAAAGCTAAATTTAAAAATTTGCCTGATAGGTTATTTTTTTTATTATTTTTTTATCATCATATTTGGCCAAATTTCCCCCCAAAGGAGGGGGGCCCCCAAAAAGAAAAAAATCATCTTCATTCACTCCATCACTGTCTTGCCCGGGGGTGCTTTCCTAAGTTTTTAAAACTGAATATTAACACCCTCCTTCAGGTATGGAGTGAAATGCCTAAAATAACCAGGAAACATTCAACCCATGAAATAGTACTCATGGGGCAAAAAGAGGATGCTGAAAGTGCTTAAACCAAATAAACTGAGCCAGTTGCCACTAAACCACAACACATGACACCCTCATGTGAAGTGTCACATGTTCCTACTTACCCATCATTTCTCATGATCGTAATTTTACTCAAATACTTTTTAAAAAATTTAATTTATTATGGAGAAAGTGGCAATATTCATTTACTGCATTACTACAGATTAGTCTTCAATTATTATACAGTATTGTAAAACATTAACAATTTCCGTAACAATAGCATGACAAGAATTTGGCAAAAAAAAAAAGTTTGACTGCAGGTTTAGGCAAAAAACTGTTTCTTTGGGCTGAGAAGGATAACAAGTAAAATGAATATAAAATGGATTTGAGGTATTAATTAGTTTGCTTTTGTGATTTCTAATGTATCACCTTACATGGTATTTGACTATAGCATTATTTTAGCCCAACTCTTAATTTTAAAATTTATTGGATTTACAGGGTAATTAATAATTGATTTTTTAGAATTTCCCAAAAAGTCAGTTCTGGTCACATGTGGGCTTGTGTAAAAGTGTTCTCCCCCAACCCTCTTCCCTTGAGCTTTTCTTCAAAGATCCTGTAATGTATTAAATGTGTACTGTCATCTTCCTAACCCAACTTGTTTAATATAATTACAAATAAGGGATTGACATTGTTATTGAGCTGATGACATTTGAAGGTTGAATAGGGGACGAAAAATGCTGTCGTGCAAAAAGAACAAAGCTGCAAGGGCTATTTGCATTTGTAACCACAGTTTTATTTTCTCGGCAGGACCTTTGGCTTCCATCCAAGTTCCAGACACTACCAACTTCAACATGAATGACCTCGTTGATCAGTTCAAGTCCATTGCTGCTCGTGCTGGATTTGACAATACCTACATTGACACTGCTGTGAAAGATATTTGCAGTACTGAAAAAGATGTGAAGGTGGATATCTCTGAATACATCAAAAGCATACCATCTGAATTTTCTGTAGAACAAACTATGGATCGTTATGGTTCTCATGATCAGTGAAACTTGTAATTTTTATTTTATATAATTTTTTTGCAAAAAAGCACAAATAATTCATAATTTTATTCGAGGACAGTGTTGAGTAACGAACAAGTTTTAAAAGAAAGCCAGTGGCTTTGTGTAGTGGTTACTTGACTGGAGTTTTATGTTTTGAGTGGATGTGCTTGGTGTATAAATATTTCTGTGAACATCTAAACTTCAAGTTAAGATTTATTTGTTTTTCCAGCAAGAGTGATGGTTCACAGTAGGTGGATGGTGGACCATGAAATGTGCCTCAAACTTCATTGCGTAAGAATTTCAATTGTATACTGCTTAGACGGCTTGATATTCTGATGCTACATTATAAATTGAGTCCTTGAATTATTTGTTCTCATTCCATCTGCCATGTAACCATTTATCAGAATTCATTTCATATAAGTATCTTTTAAACACAAACCTAAAGCTAAATTAGGAAAATTGGTAATTAAAGATTCACTTTAATTTTTGATAATTTGGGGCCAAGTAAGTGCCACATTCACACTATCATCATCCCTCCTGAAGACTGGTCCTAAATGAATCTCTGTATGTATGTACGTACAGTATTGTGAAGGCTGCTTAGTTAAAAATGTGATCTGGGAACAGCAGTGTGTAATACTATCCACTGATAGGTTGATAAGAGTTTTATGTCATTATATCTTCCATATAATTCATGTCTCCCAAATATCTATACAGCCTCTGCGTATCTAGATTTTTCTTTTTTAATTTTTTCTGAATGGATTACCACTAGTGAGCATGTGTAAGTGATGTATCGAGCCAGAACTTCCATTTATATACATATATATCTAAAATGTCTTAATATTCACAGTTACCTATACAACTTAGACAAACTGTGATCTCGTATAATTCAATCTGAAGTAAATTAAATGTTTTTTTTTTTTTTCATGCACTTGTATTTTATTTTGGGGTTACCCATCTGGAGTAATAAGGTATTATAAATCAGTTTCCACAATGCATCTTTTGCATTACTTTAACTGACGTTACATTATGTAAGGAACTTTTCGTATCATTCCAAAATGCAAATTTACTTGTCTACCATAAAATAAACTTCAGAAAAGTTAAGCATGAGTCCTTAATTATAATTCATGTAGCTGCATTTTAGCAGATTTCATCTATGTTCAGATTTTCCTGAACAAGCCTCAAGCCAAACATTCTCTTCATGAACTGTACTGTAATTGTAATTTTTTTCTTAGATGTGATTCATTTAACTTTCACTGTTTTTGTTAATCTTCAAAAAAAACTTTAATTGTAGTTTTATATTTTTTCCATAAATAACTTCCTTTGCAAAGCACCTCGTGTAAATACTCAAGTTTTAGTTCAATACAATTAACTTATAAAACTACCTATACAAATTAGGATTTATTGTAAAATGGTTTAGTCAATAAATAATAGAGAAAAGACCAAGAATGTACCTCACCTTTTGTAAGTCATTTGTGTGTAGAAATTAAGAAATAACAAATTTTGTCTTTCATAGTAATTAAGAAAGGTGCAAGGATTTGCAGGAAAGTCCAGTACCAACGAAGTAATGATGAAGTACACTTTAACTGATGAGATCATGGAAGAGTGAGAGCCAAGTGAGAAAGACAAAAAAGGTTAAGGAATGAGGGGACAACAGGCTTCTGAGCAAGAGAAAAAAAAATTTCCACTGCTCATATTTGGCTAGTGCTCCAGAAGATGGCAACAACAGAAGCGCATCATTTGCTTAAAAATTACGGTTTGATGTCTCTTTTCAGCAAAAGACGATTAGTTACCAAAATGAACGGCTGTTTTTTCAGTACTTGTAACTTTCCATGGACGTTTTTGAAGCTTCCTCAAGTTTTATCATATTCATAAGAACATGCAAAGCTTGTAAGCCTTCTAATAGAGGTGTTGTGATGCTGGTGATGGGAGTTCGATCCCCTTAGATAAAACCTGATTGCCTTAAATTTCCCAAGTGCTGTATGAACTCTATGGAATTAATGCTTCCCCATGAGTATACATAAGACCTAAGTCATATAGTACCAAAGGATTGGGAAGGGTGATGTAATGAGGTTTTATTAGGAGGGGTAGCTCCAATTCTTTGGACCAAGAACTCTTTAACCCTTAAACTGTCCAAGCAGATCTACGTTCACATGCATAGTGCTCCAAATGTAGATCTACGTTTTTTTTTACATATTTTCAAATATAAAAAAAAAGTAGATCAAAGTTTTTTATACATTTTTAAATGTAAAAAAAAAAAAATCTTTTTTTTACATACTTTCAAATGTTGAAAAAACGTAGATCTATGTTTGGACAGTTTAAGGGTTAAGGGAGGTTTGTAAGTTACAAGAAAGAAAAATTCTAAATAGGCTGAATATGCACTTTATTACTGATTTTATAGCTGACATAGGTTAAAAAATAATGAATAGGTTGTGTTAGGTTAAATTAGGACTCGCAAAATCATAATGACGTGACTTGCTCGCCACAAGTTCAATCCCTGCCTATGGTATGGTAGGTTAAATTAGATTTTGATCAAAAGCATGACAGGTTCTGTATCTTTGATTTTTTCCTTTTTTTTATTGCCTTGATGCACAAAGTGATCCTCACCTGTTTTTAATGATATGGTATATTTTTTTTTTTTTTTTTTATTATCACAAGGCCGATTCCCACCAAGGCAGGGTGGCCCGAAAAAGAAAAACTTTCACCATCATTCACTCCATCACTGTCTTGCCAGTAAGGGGTCATCTAGGGTTTGATTCCTAGGAGGGAAGGTTAACTGCAATTCCTTGGAACAAGAAACCTTTATCAGCATCAAGGAAACCCTTTGAAAGGAATGTGACTGTGCCACATTCACATACTCAAGAGGTATATTAGCCTTCTGTTATCCATTCAGGGTCATTTTAGTTTTTACAGTACTGGAAAAAATGTCATTACAACCATGTAATAATCACTGATATTTGCCAGGGTGACTTCCGTAATCAGTAATCGGGTACAATAAATTTACTGAGTTATGAAATTATATCTCAAAGGGATGAGGTAATATGTTGTCTCAAACCACCTCCATCAGATGGACCTTACATCATTAATTCAAATATTAAGCAGTAATATTATAATGTTAATTTAATTAGCAGTTTGTTCCAGAGGGTGGAAGAGCCCAGGTTCTCCCCCTCCATTACATACCCCTCAAGGAGCTCAAAAAGGTCAGTAGGTGGTATCATGTGTTAGTGAATCATATAAAAAAAAAAAAAGATTTATTAGATTGGGCTATCCCACCCTCCATCATTTGCAATTCTTAAAGATGCAGGATACTGTTTTTTCCATTGTACTTTCTTCAAAATCTTGACCTTACCTTTTCTACAAATTTTGTTTATTATTATTATAATCAAAAAGAATGCTAAACCTACAAGGGTCATTCAGCACACTGGGCTGGGAAGGATACGGGGTAATGGGTAGGGAGAGGGATGATTGTTAGGTTATGGAGTGCAGTGGGGCAGTGGATAGTGCAGGGGTAGAGAGTAGCAAGAGATTGAGGTAGAGAGGGCTGTGAGGAGTACTAGAGGCATCATCAAAGTTTGTGCAGTAAATCAGATGCTGTCAAAAAGTTAATGAAAGAGTCTGGGTTAAAGAAGGGTCCATGAGCAAGAAGGGAAGATAAAGGGCATTAGAGCGGTGATGGCATCGGAGGTAAATTCTGCATGCTCTTCGATAGTGGGGGCAGTCCAACAGAATATGGCTAACAGCAACGGGCACTTGACAATTCTCACAGAGTGGAACAGGATGCCTCTCCATTCCTTGGATCAAAAGCTCCTCAATAGCAGGTTTAGAAGGATATGGCAGTGCTGTATGACCCTTATGGGTTTAATGCTTAGTTATTTTTTTTTATTATCACACCGGCGATTCCCACCAGGCAGGTTGGCCCCCCAAAAACAAAACTTTCACATCATTCACTGCCATCACTGCTTGCCAGAAGGGTGCTTTAACAAAGTTTTAAAAGCTGTCAACATTAACACCCCTCCTCAGAGTGTCAGGCTACTGTAACTCCCATCTCCATGACTCAATGTCCGGCCTGCCGGTTTCCAAATCCCTTCATAATTTTTACTTTGCTCATCACTCAATACACGTACAAGTATTAAAAACCATTTGTCTCCATTCACTCCACGACTGGCTCACGCATGCCGCTGGTAAGTGCAGGGGCCCCTGTTGCAAAAGCCTCCATTTACTCACGGGTACCCGTCCAAACCCTTCCTAGGTCGACCCTACCGCGCTTCCTTCCATACTAGATGATCACTTTTGAAGTCATTCTGTTTCGCCACATTCTCTCTACATGTCGTAAACAAGTCAACAACCTTCCTCAGGCACTGGAGACAGTTTATGGTAATCCCGCACTCCTCCAACTTCCAAACTACGAATTCTCTGCGATCAATTCACACACACATTGCCCTCAACATGCATCTCCAATGCCTCCAGGCCATCCTCCGCTGCACATTCATCACCCAAGCTTCAACACCCATATAAGAGGCGTTGGTAAAACTATGCTCTCTACATTGATTTAATGCTTAGTTATGATTATAGTAATTTGAAGGATATGGTGAAGCACTATTTATTAAATTAAGTCTTTGTCCTCTTAGACTGCAGGGTGATGAATAACTCATTAAGCTTTTCTTTCATCATATTTTCTAGTTTATCTAATTTGTCTTCTAATTTTTTTGTTTCTGTTACATATTCATTTACCTCTGCTACACACTGTTCAGCACTTTCCTTATGAGAATCTTCACTGGATCTTGCAATTAAGATGGCTGCCTGAACTGTACTCTTGGGGATTTGATACTTACGGAATTGCCATCTCCCAGATCGCTTCTTGTTCACATAAACTTTCTCTTCATGGTTTATTGTAGAGATGTTAATTAAAAGTTTTGCCAGACGGTGTGGAAATAACCAAAACATTGTAACAGCACTAGTTAGCTTCTCAAATGTAATGAGGTATGATGCTTGCTTGGACAGCCTTTCAATTTCACCAAGTCGCTCCAGATTAGATATGTCGTCCACAGCAAGACCAATGAGAAGATTGGCCATAAGGATACACACAAGAAAGAGGAACACTGTTAGGAAAATGTACACGAGGTAAGTAGGTTGAGAGTCTACTAGCTCTGTGTAATCCAACTCTCCAATCATCATCATGAATGTCTTTACTAGACTGGTAAAGAAACTGCTGAATTCCTTTTTATCATAAAATAAAACCATAAAACTTGCTGCAAACCCAATCAGTAGGCCAATAAATGCAGCAATGAATTTAATAGCTGACTTAGCAATCCGTGTGAACATGAGGACATTGGATCCAAGGATGGGGAGTCGTCCACACAACATCATCAACTCTACCCACCCAAAAAACACAGATGTTGCAGCCACTTGTCTCTCCACTGACATTTTCCCGGATGTTGAGTTTGTAAAGTTGGTCTCCAGTTCAGGACTTGTTCCTCCTACGAATACAACGTAAGCAGATGCTCCTAATGCAATAACCTTTGTCAGTGTTTCCCAGTGTTTTATGTACCTTTTGGCATTGCCAATTATGGTAAACAGCTCAGGCCACAAGATGACAGAATACATAAATATGTGTAAATACCGAAATGTACCAAGAGCCAAGGTCTTCTCTGACTCCTTCTTGTATACCGAGACAATGTACACTGTATGAAGTAAGAGAAAAATGAAGAAGCAGACAATTTTACTGTAAAAGAAAAACCTGATTCTGTTCCATTTAATACCAAGGAAAGATTCTACAAGTGGATGTTTTAGGAGAGGTTCTGCTTCCGTGTTGTTAAGGTCATATATGAGAGAGCTTTGTATGCCTCCTTGCTGTGACAGTATGACCGAGTAGTCGAATGTTACGTGGAAGTTGGGGTCTTGTTGAGGCTCATTGGACACTTGAATACGATTGTCAAAAAGTTGTTTGAGAAGGTCTGTGGCTGACGGAAGGTACTTTAGTAACAGTGAACAGCGAGATGTACCATCTATATCCTTACGTGTCAGGTGGTCTCCATTGTTCAGCAGCAGATCACAGCAATCGATTGAACTACTGCGAACAGCATAGAGGAAGGGTTCAATACCCTCATTATCTGGCTTGGTGATAAGTTTATTTATACGACCAGTGTCGAGCAGGTGGGTGAGGCTGGTGGAGCAGCCCTTGTAACAAGCACCGTGTACTACCGATTCTCCACTTTGTGTCACCACTAAGGGATCTGCCCCCATGGATAATAACAGCTGCACACCCTTAGAAAACCGAAAGCAGGCAGCTAAAAAGAGAGGGGATTCTCCTTGATTGTTTGTAGAGTTGACATCTACTCCAGCATCAAACAACATCTGCAGTACTTCTAGGAGTGCATTTTCACAAGAGGCTTCACATTCCTTCACAATGGCTGTGTGCATGACTCCATCACCATTGTTGTTACGCGAGTGTAGCAGCTCACTAGAAACTTTGTGCTCTAGCAGGAGGGATAGTATTTCAGTACTATGAGCATGGGCAGCCAGGTGCAAGAGGCAGCACCCATCACTGTCCAGCAAGCTTACATCTGGACTGTAGTTCATCATGATCCTGGTAATGGAAGCATTCCCAAGCCTCACAGCCATCTGCATAGGAGTGTCCCCGACCCGAACTCCTTCTGCAGAAGGTGGGACTGAGCAGTGTGTGTCTGGCGAGGCCCCATTCTTGAGCAGCTCAACCACACCTTTCAGCCAGCCCTCACAGACAGCCGTGTACAGTGATGTATTGCCAAGCCCATCTACCATCTCCACCTGCATTCAAGTAATTCATTAGTATAAGTTATAAACAAATGTGATATACAGTTTAACTTTTTATTACAGGGTTCATGATATTGACAGTAATTAACCACATATTTACTGGTGACAAAAGAATATGTATTATATTTTTGTAAATACATTACGAAAAAGAAAGCAAAATAACACAAAGCAGACTGCTGACAAAGAGTTTCATTGTGAACCTGAAGTATTATACAGTGATCCTATTTCCGTCAAGAAGGTGCTCTAATGCTGGTGAAGGACTCTAGGCTCAAAGAATCTGAGCAACACTCCCTTTCCTTAGATGAAATCTGATTACCTCCCATTTCCCAGATGCTGTATGACCTGTATGAGTTTATTGATTAAGCATGACTAAAACAACAATAAGCCATAATAAAATAATACTTCTCTTTTTACCTGATTGAGGATTAAAAATTTTACACAGCTCAATTTATGTGCTAAAGCCTATTTTCCTACCTGTGTTTATTTCTCACAGCCAAAAAAAAAAAAGCTGTCTAACACTAGGCTACCATTTTTCTGCTATGTAAACATTATGGATTCTGAACCACAGACCCCCTCAAGGAAAGTTTCTTGATGCTGGTGAGGGGCTCTTGATCTAGGAAATTGGATCTGTGCTCCAGTTCCTTGAATTAAGCCTGAATACCTTCCATTCCATCCCCCTCCACAGGCGCTGTATAATCCTACGGGTTTAGCGCTTCTCCATTATAATAATAATGAACTAGAGCCTTGCCCTGCCTAAGACTGGAATCCAGAACATTTGCCCTGCCTAAGACTGGAATCCAGAACATTTGCCCTGCCTAAGACTGGAATCCAGAACATTTTAGTCGTACACTGAATGCTCTAACCACTGAACCATAAGGGTTACAAGTTTATGATAATCTAACCACTGAGTTACATGTCAGGTATAAGAATGACAACTTACATGAGCATTGTGCTGGAGAAGGAGCCTGAGAATGGGTAAATGTTGGAGGTGAGTGGCTGCATGGAGGGGGGAGAGACCTGCACACACCTCCCTTGTCGCCTGCGGTGCCTCCAGCAGCAGCTGTCGTACCTCCTCCACATCACAAAGCTGAATGGCCTAGGGTAAATAAACACCTATCACTGACATTATTAAAATCATTGTTTTAGATACGTTTTAAGTGATATACATTTGAGACGTAACGTAATGTGTCCTCAAACGTAAAACTGATAATTGCTGATTATTGTTGCCTTCAAGGGAGAGAGGTGCCTTGATACTAAAGATGAGCTCTTGAACCAATGAGTTGGAGTCACCCTCCTTTTCCTTGGATCAATCTTGATGATTACCTCCATTTCCCCAAGAGATGTATGACCCCAGATGGCATAGCGCTTCCCCATGAACATAGTAGTAATAATAACAGTTATAATAAATACAACACTGGTAATATGTATTCTGAAATGTTGATATAATTCGGTGGTGCCTGGTGGCTAAAGCTCGCTTCACACGGTGATGTCTGGGTTCGATTCCCAGCGAGGGTAGAAACATTGGGTGTGTTTCTTTACAACGGCTGTCTATGTTCACCCATCCCCTCAAGGAAGGTTCCTTGATGTTGGTGAGGGGCTCTTGATTTAGGGAATTGGATCTGTGCTCCAGTTCCCCGAATTAAGCCTGAATGCCTTCCACATCCCCCCCCCAGGCGCTGTATAATCCTCCGGGTTTAGCGCTTCCCCCTTGATTATAATAATAATAATATGTTCACCCATCAGTAAAATGTGTACCTGGGTGTTAGTCGACTGGCATGGGTCGCGTCCTGAGACAATTGACCTAATTTGCCCGAAATGCTTTGCATAACAAGCGGCTCTGCTGTATAGTCCTTGTGGCTTAGCGCTTCTTTTTTGATTATAATAATAATAACAAGCGGCTCTCTATATGACACTGTCATTGATGTCAGCTGGGCCTGTATACCATTTACATGTACTTACAGTAAATATATTATTATTGTTGTTACCCCTCAAGGCAGGTTCCTTGATGCTGGTGAGGGGCTCTTGATCTAGGAAACTGGATCTGTGCTCCAGTTCCCTGAATTAAGCCTGAATACCTTCCATCCCCTTCCCCCACAGGCGCTGTATAATCCCTACGGGTTTAGCGCTCCCCATGATTATAATAATCAGAAGTGTTACGTTTAAAGTTTTTTTTTTTTTTGTTTTTTTTTTAAGATTTTCATCTGTAGGTTAAGAACACATCAAATCAGCTTTAAATGTTCACTGCTAGTATACTGTAACTGTTTCAAGATTCACCCAATCATTGACGTGTGTAGATGCACTCTGGCAAGACAGTGAGTGTGAATGTCGTGAAAGTTTCTTTTTCAGGTCACCCTACCTCGGTGGGAGACGGCCTGTGTTTATATATATATAAAATATATATATATATATATATATATATATATATATATATATATATATATATATATATATATATATATATATATATGTCGTGCCGAATAGGCAGAACTTGCGGTCTTGGCTTAAATAGCAACGCTCATCTTGCCATATAGGACAAGTGAAAATTTGTGTATGCAATAATTTCGCCAAAATCATTATGAACCTAACGAAAAAAATATATTTCATTGTGTTTGTTTAGTATTAAATTACTGTAAACAAATCTAAAATATATTTAGTTGGGTTAAGCTAAAATAAATTGCTCTTGTTATAACAAGGTTAAGTAAGTTTTCCAAGTTTCTTTTGGTGCAAAATTCAAAATTTTTATATTAACATTAATGAAAAAATATATCTTTAAACGTATAAGAGAAAATTTTGGAAAGGACTTAATATTAAATGAGTTCTTGCTAATTGACCAGTTTTACATATTCGGCACGACATATATATATATATGTCGTGCCGAATATGTAAAACTGGTCAATTAGCAAGAACTCATTTAAAATTAAGTCCTTTCTAAAATTTTCTCTTATACGTTTAAAGATATATATTTTTCATTAATGTTAATGTAAAATTTTTTAATTTTGCACCAAAGGAATCTTAGAAAACTTACCTAACCTTATTATAACAAGAACAATTTATTTTAGCCTAACCCAACTAAATATATTTTAAATTTGTTTACAATAATTTAATACTAAACAAACACAGTGAAATATATTTTTTTCGTTAGGTTCAGAAGGATTTTGCGAAATTATTGCATACACAAATTTCGCTTGTCCAATATGGCAAGATGAACGTTGCTATTTAAGCCAAGATCGCAAGTTCTGCCTATTCGCACGACATATATATATATATATATATATATATATATATATATATATATATATATATATATATATATATATATAATATATATATATATATATATATAACACGTATATATATAGTGTGTGTGTGCAAATCGACACACCAGTCCCAGATTTGGTCTCTACGTAATAATTTGAACAAGCTTCTTTTGATCGGCTTCAAACTTCCAACATTAGTGTATTCTCAGAAGGTCGGGATTGTTATTGAAGTGTGTAGTGCAAATTTGCAAATTTTATTTATAAAATGCGTGTATTTTTTTTGTAAATTAACTTTGGCATGCATTTTCTTAACGGCTCTAATCATTAATAGCTGATGTGACTTATGAAAAGAATGATACTTTTTGGGTTTAGGCTGTGTAGGTTCAAAACTTTCCAAATTATGCACCAAAAACGCATCCAATGGGTGGTAATCATATTATGTTGCAAAATAGGGTCCAGGGACAAGGCCTCAACATTCAACTAATTTGTTGTCGTGGTCTTACCTGGAGTTTACCTGGAGAGAGTTCCGGGGGTCAACGACCCCGCGGCCCGGTCTGTAACCAGGCCTCCTGGTGGATCAGAGCCTGATCAACCAGGCTGTTACTGCTGGCTGCACGCAAACCAACGTACGAGCCACAACCCGGCTGATCAGGAACCGACTTTAGGTGCTTGTCCAGTGCCAGCTTGAAGACTGCCAGGGGTCTGTTGGTAATCCCCCTTATGTATGCTGGTTGTTTCTAACACACAAAATGTACCCACTTTGTTAACTAATTTGGCCAGCGTTTTGAAAAAAAAAGTAAGTATTGCTCAGCATACATACCGAGAAGAGTGGATGGATACAAAACAAGTATATTTCAACATGATACACTGTATAGAAATGCATGAGTGTATGTTGAAAGCCATAGGTATGCAACGCATTTCGGATCTCCATGCAAGACTAGTACTTTTGTTATGTCTCTGATGGACGAACCTGGTTAGCTAATCTGGCTAGCATTCTGAAGAAAAAGTAAGTACGTATTGGTCAGCTTACATACCGAGAAGAGTGGATGTATCTCGGTGCAAGACTGTGGTACTGTGTTGTGCGCCTCTGGTGGACGAGTATTGAAGGTACCACTGGAGGATCCAGCAGTCCTCACTACCACCGTCATCTGATCGTCCTCAACACCTTCTTCCACGTCTTCCATCTGGCTGCTGTGGTTTCTCCTCCACCTGCTGTTGCTGGTCATGCTGCTGGTCATGCTGATCCGGAAGTTGGAAGACCTTCGACTGAGGCAGAGAAAATTTGAGACGAAAATTAATAGTAGGAGTGATAATGTTTCTGTTTCATTATGTTTTATAGTAAAATAATTATGACGAATATTCCAAGAACGAACTTTATCAGTGTCATTATTATTATTAATTTTAATATAATTTTGGTAATAAACGAATTTTTAACTATTGAAATTAATGATTAATAATGCAAATTACAGTACAGTAATTACTATATTATTACTAATAAATACTATACCGTCCTCCCTTCCATGTCAAAAACTTCCACATAACTTTGATCACTGCTGCACTCGTGCCTTGTCCTGAAGCTTTGTGCAAACTTCCTGCAATATATACAAGTGTGGTAATTAAGGGATTGATGAATTTTTAAGGGACTGATCAGGGTCAATGAGGTCAGGGAGGGGGTCTGGAGGTAACAACACCCCATCGGGACTGCCAAACTGAACATTTTTAGGGTAAACGCTTAATTTTCTCAGGGTAGATTCCTCGATAATCCATTTGTGATTTGTGTTTGAGCTGGGTTAATTGTTTACTGCTTTACGTTCAACTTTAGATTAATAAATGGCGGTTGTCTTGTTAATATTTTACAAACATTAGTACATAGCATATCGTATACTTATACTGTTTCACGAACTATTTTTCTTATACAAAATTCAGGGCACAAAAAAATCAGGGTAAATATTTTCTGCCGCCTTCCCCCAGTATGCACACCAGAGCCAGCAGGTGTCAGGAGACTCCACCCACCTAGGTACGTCAGTTGAGTCGAAGACACTACCAGCAAACTCCAAGTAACAGTGGTGCAATATGTTTCAATAACAAACACCAGGTGGGACAGATAAGTGACACACATGCGTTGTACAGTATATCTATTATTAACTCAGAGCACCGGAAGGGTGGTCAAGGCGCCCGCTCAGACTAACACCTGTAATGAGATGACCAAAGCCTTACTTAGCTCTTTATATGGCCAGTAGGTATACCCATTTGTGAATGTCTGGTGTTGTTGCTTGCATGACCCTTATGGGTTGAGTTCTTCTCCTTAATTATAATAATAATAATAGTAACGATGTCCACTAAGCTTTTGTTAGGCATACACTTATCTGCATAATGATCTAGACGTTATATTAAATTTCAGGTATAATATTTGCCTTTAATGGGCAAATATCAACACTAGTTTAATAATGGCAATTAAAAGTAAAAATTCTAAATTTTAGAAATTTTGCTAGTTTTTTTCAAGTACATTAGATAATTACTCCATCATTATTGTAAGGAAGCGTCGACCATGCTGTGCCCTGACTCACTCTCCGGTTAGTATTGTGCCAGTTTATTAACAGGGAGAGAGAAGGATGTAATAAATTACAGGCTAGTACCATAAATGTATCACAGAACGGGTAGAGCTCGAACCCAAGGTTCAAGACCCGTGTGTTAACCACTGGTGACTTGCTTGCAACCGTGTTATTACAATTTCATGAGTAATATGCACATTATACAAATAATTGGAAAAATATCATTATATATGTAGGTATTGACGAAATATTTAAAAAGAAGTGAATTCATAACGAAAAATCAGCGAAAATACGTGGATGGCAAATCCTGCCATATACGTACTAGAGTTTAGGAAAAATGTATCCATCAAATCAAAGGATTACAGTGCGGGGTTTACAGATTTTGGTTATTGTGTGGTTTACATGTAATAAGATACTAATTACAGAGGGGGCCACTAGAACACCTAGCATGGCTAGGCATTTCGGGCAAACTTAGATTAATTCTTAATCCATGGACCAAAGTATAGCTCTGGACACAGACCTCACATGAAGTCTGATACACAAACCACAGGAACAGGCAGAGGTAAAAGGAAAGGCACTTGAGTAGGTCAAGGAACATTTGAGGAACAGAAGACAGTGATAGTGAGGGAGGACGCATCAGGCTTCGTAAGGGTGACCTGCGGGGTTCCCCATGATTCAGTATTAGAACATATACTCTTCCTAATAATAATATGATAGGGATGAAGAGGCTAGAAATAAATGGGTAGAGTACTATCGCCGACACTGTTAATTAACGGTATCCGTGGTTCAGTCGCCGGTCGAGTGGAAATATTGGGCAGGGTACCTTGCACCTGTTTTCCCTGTTCACCTAGCAGTAAGTAGGTACCTGGGTGTTAGCCGACTGGTGTGGGTGGCATCCTGGGGGACAAGATTAGAGGACCACAATGGAAATAAGACAGTCCTCGATGACGCATTGACTTTTATAGGTTATCTTAGGTGGCTAACCCTTCGGGTTAAAAATTCGAACAAATCTCATCTCGCCTCAGCTTTCTTTTGAAACTCGTGGTTAGTACAACTTAAATACCTGTGATTCATTAGTATTCTCCACTCTAAAATGAAGGTTATTATCAGCGTATCTGTTAACTGTTGTTGCTTGTACAGCTTTTGTTGCCATCTTTTAAAAAGAATTTATCCAGGGGTGTTCACACTTATACTTTATACATGACCATATACTTTGAGTGTGCACGGGAGACACTTGTCCTTTAGGTGTGTACAAAGAGATACCACGGGCGGGGATTGAACCCGCGATCAGTCTCAAAACTCCAGACATTCGCGTTAGCCACTGGACCAGCTAGCCATGCCCGTGGTATGGTTTGTTTGCAATCGTGTCATTACGATTTCGTGAGTCATGATAATCATAATGTCGTACACACCCGTAACTCACAACCAGATAATAAATTGGCTTTTTTTACACGACAAGGTGAGTACAACAAGTTTAGTACACAATTTAAGAGGTTGAACCAAGAGCTAGAGCTTTCCAGAAAGGTTTTTTTAAAATCTACAAGCTGACTGATAGACCATGACAGTATGGAAAGCTTTATTAGACAACGTTTCTCTTGAAGATTAAGCTTTATCAAGTTAATGAAAAAGCTAGATCTCCAAGAGAAATAGTATCTAACAAAAGTACAGTATCTATTTATTAGACCTCTCTGACTCAAAAGTATAATCATGTATACATAAATACATGTAGATAATTAGATAGATAATTATAAATAGGTAATTAAAATTACGTAATTATACACTAAATTGTTATCTGTTTACAATAATGTATTTACCACTGAACATATCATTGCTTGTTAATCTTAAGTTAATTTTAAGCCTGCTCATAATGCTCTGCATACAAGGGGCTTTGGCATGTTGCACTGTAATAACTTTGTACTTCACTGTATCATGTGCAAATTAATAAATAAATAAAAAATAAATAAATAAACACAGGTTAAGCCACTCACGTAAGAGAAAAGTTGTCTGCTGGACGTAATGTGTGTATAGTGTTCTGGATGAACTGTTCCCCTCAAGGAAGGTTCCTTGATGTTGGTGAGTGGCTCTTGATTTAGGGAATTGGATCTGTGCTCCAGTTTCCCAAATTAAGCCTGAATGCCTTCCACATCCCCCCCCCCTCCACAGGCGCTGTATAATCCTCTGGGTTTAGCGCTTCCCCCTTGATTATAATAATAATAATAATCTGGATGAACTGCATAAATGCTTTTGACTAGGTTTCTAGATGTGTTGGATTTTCAGTGGAGGTGCATCCTCTGGGTTATTCTGTTTGACCGGATGTTACACGTACCACCACCTGCACTCCTGTCCCATATTACTTCAAGAAGGCTAATATGAAGCGATTGCTCATTTGTCTCCGAAAAGATTTTTGTAAACTGGTAATTCCACTTACGAAGCCTAGCACGGGACACTTTCTGTTAAATGTTAATATATAAAGTGACACACAACAGTTGGTGACACACAACAATTAAAAGTCTAGTTAGCTTCATCGACGTATATTGCACTAGTTTAACCCCTCAAGGAAGGTTCCTTGATGTTGGTGAGGGGCTCTTGATTTAGGGAATTGGATCTGTGCTCCAGTTCCCCGAATTAAGCCTGAATGCCTTCCACATATCCCCCCCCCCAGGCGCTGTATAATCCTCCGGGTTTAGCGCTTCCCCCTTGATTATAATAATAATGCACTAGTTTAAGCGGGTAATCAAAGACACTTCACAGTTTCATAGCGAATGTCAGCTCACAACTTATTTTGTTAATTATTTGCTCTTGGTTCACTGAATGCTTCATATTTTCTATTCTACCTGCAGGAGCCATACGAATTTAGCTCTTTCAGTCAATATAACAGTAATAACAATCCTGTGGAAAATTACATTTATCTGAATGTATCATTATGTACATAAAAGTAAATGAACAAAGATAATTATTATTTATCAGTTAGTGTGGAAAATACTGTATATATTTTCCAGAAATTCAGTATTTATATGCAAATAGATGGCCATACTGTATTTAATATTTATGTCATAGAAAACGGAAAGCCTGCGTCTGCGCAGACGAGACTCGCCATCTTGGTTTTGAATTTTGTACAAACGTTGGTGTAATGGGAAGAATTTTTCGTGCTCTAGAGGTTAAAATTGTGTTGACACCTCTCAAATAGGAGGCGAAATTGGTGGATGTGCATTCCTGCATAACTTGAGATATCAGACGACTGGACAAGACAGCTCCAGGAACCTCAGATAAGCTCTCTAGATTTGTGTGTAATTCTGGCCAGCATTATTTTCATAGATTTAGTTAGAGTGAGGTTTTCTGAGTATGATACACATTAATCTCCAGTCAAATTGGTGAGTGATATTAAGATATATTTTCCTTCTGTTATGTAATTGTGTATATATATAACCATTTATTATTTTTAATATACAGTCCACAAATTTATATATTTACCAGTATTCCTGGTGTATGTATATTTCGTTTAATTAATAGGTCCAGAGCAACTTGTGGTTATGACAGTGGTAGGTATCGAAGGGGGACATTTTTTGCGATCTAGATGTCCCAAATTCCTACTTGTCTATGTAACATTGGTAAATAATAATTATCTTTGTTATCATTTACTGTTATGTACATAATTAGTTACATTCAGATAAATGCAATTTTCCACAGTTAGACAAGTAGGAATTTGGGACACCTAGGTCGCAAAAAATGTCCCCCTTCGATACCTACCATTGTCATATCCACAAGTTGCTCTAGACCTATTAATTACAACTGAAATATGTATCACCAGGAATGCTGGTAAATATATAAATTTGTGGACTGTATTTTAAAATTAAAAAAGGATTATATATGTGGAAATTTATTTGGTCCCTAAAGTTCCACAGGACAGATCCAGCATGGCCGTGATGGAACGGCTGAGCTGGATGGCTCTTATACCCCACCCAAACATAAAAGCATTCTCTCGAGTTGGCGGGGATTGTTGGTAAGCTTATTTAATTTATAGATTTACTCTTCAGGGAAGGAGTAGGTAGTTTTACTGGTAGTACACTAATATTAGGATTATTGAGGCAACTGTAGATAATAATAATGTAGACCTAAGACCTTAACATAGGTAGTAATAGGCCGATAATGTAGGCAAACACTAGGATAAGTTAGCTAGGGAGAACTGGCAGCCCTAGTTTGAACGAAGAGACGAGGGTATGGAAGAGAGACCAGCTCGTTCTTCTTAAGACAGACACCAACTGGACAAGACGTGCCGTGATCAGCAGACGGCCCCCCCCCCACGTGTCTTCACATTTGAGACCTGGGGAAATCTGGTAGAGGCACCTCGATGTACCGTAGATGACCTCCTCCGTCAGGCCCATACAGTAAGACAAGACCTCCACTTTATCTCGTAGATTTCTGGCCAGTGTCTGGGGAGATTGTGAGTGAGTTTGATCTGTGGGCCCGGTGTGCAACAGGCAGTGCATGCCCAGTAAGTACCAGTGTCTCAAGGCAGTCTGGAAGCTAGTGTCCGTGTCTGCATAGTTATACTAGGGGATACATACCCTCTTGGATATAGGAATTTCTGAGGTGCAGGCAGGACACTAATAACGATTGAATATTCCAGGAATTAAGGCTCCT